TATAGCACTCTATTAAAGCATCTTTTTACAGTCGATCTCTTCCCCCCAAAAAAGCTTACTCATGATCATAATACTTCACAAAAATCTTTACTGCATCTTGTAGTTTATATACAAAAATATCTAAGCTTCTTCTTAGAACAATTGATCATTATCTGTAATATGTCCTCTTTCTGCACTTACATATTTACCCACCATTATACTTCTCCATGTACTTCATTCATACCAGATTCCATGTTGTGGCCTGAAAATGCATTAACATGCTGAACTTTCACTTACATTATTTTTCATATGAGAAATGGTCTCATCATAGCATAGTTTCTCCTGTTGAAAAAATCCTTTAAGGTCAACTTAAAATTCCACTTTTATTAAGAAATCTTTTCTCTTCTTTCCACAGATACTACTCCACTAGCTGACCTTAATCTCTTTCTTCCCTGAACACTCATAAAATTACATTGGTCCTTTATTATGGCACCTATACCATTATACTCTGTCAGGGTTTTAAATGTCTCCCTTACTATGTTGCAAGATTGGCGCAGTCAGTTTCTGCCTCTTATATCTTTTTTTATCTTGAATATTACCTAACACTAATATTATCAAGTGCTTCTAAGATTACTGTTGAATTGAAACAATGATTGATTGAATATATGAATGAATAATCAGTAGGTATTCCATAAATATTACTATGAAGCAATAAAATTTTATGACAAGTACTTTGTTTTGATATATCTTATGTTATTTGCTATAGAAGTAAGTGAAGAATTGTAATAACTTTTAATGCCATTTATTGTGTTATTAAGGGAAAAATAACTTCAAAATGACAGATTTTCTCATTTACAAGCTAGAATAGTAAATGAGTTCTTTCTATAAAAGAGAACCTGTTATTTCTATTTGATTGTGATGTCTGTTGGCTCGCTATCATATTTCCTTTCATAATCAAAGGAGGAAAGACAAATTCAAATCCTTATCCAGGGCATAATCACTAATGCTGCATGATTATTTACTTCTATTTGTGGACAAAAGTGTTTCTAGCAGACCAAGAGTAAAATTTCTTCATAGCATCACTCCATTTAGTATTTCACTTAGTTCTTGTACTCAGTAGAAACATATATTCAAATGCTTAAAAAACAATCATAAGAACATAATAATATTCTATTTATTTAGAAACCTAAGTTTTAAAATTATTTGCTTGCATCATTCTAATGTATTTTTGTGATTGTAATTATTTTAGTTTTGCATAGTTATACAGGTCATAGAAGTGTATTATCACATTTTAGTTCCATGTGCCATCAAATTATTTGGCACTCATTGAGGTTATTTATCCAGAAAATAACTAGAAATGTTAGTTTGACATTTAGTCATTGATGTAATTTTTCTTAAAGGAAACATGTCATTTACATAATATTTTATTTTTCAGTTGCATAATGTTAACTCATTTTGGCTTTAAAGGGAAGCAATAAATCACTTGGATCTAAATAATTTAATTGTGAATATCTATGAGTTTATATCTTTCTTCTACTGCCAACAAAGAGAATTTTACCAATATCTTTACATTAGGTTAAGCCTGGATATTTTCCCATTCAAATACATTAACCTAACAGTTAAAGAAATTACAAATGTCACAGCAAATATACTATTCAGTTAATATTCCAAGGTAGAATTATGTTTTATAGGACTTCTAACTATAAGCAACTCAAGTAACCCAGACAACCATTTTATTGATATTACATTTTAGAATATGTAAAACAAGTGCCCAAACCTTTGGTTGAGTCAGATATTTGGCTGTGAATGAAATAAAAAAAAATTGAAGTAAACTTTGCAAAAACAGACCCACGATGTCATCCCACCCATGTATCTCAGAAACAGCCTGTTATGAGAATGCAGTCAGACTTGTAACTCCTCAGAATAATATTCAAACGGATAGATCAGTTGGAAGCTCTTCATTACAGCATCTGTTCTGTGTTTATAGCTATATCTGCAGACTGCCGAACACCCTCGGTGTACCATAAACGCAGGAATTACACATCCAGAATGGTAATAAACTCACTGGGTGATGTGTTTGTTCTCTAGAGTTTTCAGCCCCTTTCTTGTGTTGGCAAGACTGCTAGATTTTTGTTGCTGTAGAAAATATTAGATTGTTTGTAGTTTTTTTGACTCTGGTGACAAACCAGGAAAACATAACAACAATAAAATGGTAAAAACACAGGCACTGAGATTATTGTTACATTTTAAAATTACAGCCTCAGAGAGAGTTACAAGAGAAGCAACAGTAGAATGAATAAATGAGACACATGAGTAAGTGAATGGTTGTTTTCCATAGAAATTTAGTCTCAAATACCCTCTATGGGTGAGCTTAGCTGTGTGGCATACCTTGGAGAAGCTACAGACTGTACTAAAAAGCTTCATGATATAATTATTAATTAGAAGTATCTTTCTTACTGTAATAATCTGATAGTGCCTGATCAATTACAGCCAATAATTAAGCAACTTACTGGTGAAACCAGCATTTCCTAGAGAACCATTTCAATTTAGACCAAGCTGATTTTTCTCTCAAAAGCAGGATCCCAAATGAAATTACTTTCAAATTCAAAACAGTGAAGGGAATATTGTCAGCGTATGAGGAAAGCACCTGCAGGTGTGAGAAAGTGATCAGAATGTACTGCAATGCCTGGCTGCGATAGAGGTGCTAAGCCTCCTTAAAGTGACATCGGCCAGCTTCATCTTTTCCCAGGAGCCAGCACTGTGTACTCTCCATCAGCAGTCACTGCTCTCTTGGGCAGGTCCCAATACTGTCTGCACACAGAATCACGGGGAGAGCTCTCATCAATGCACGTTCTTGGTTACCAACACAAGCTGTCTCGGTCACATAGGTTCTCTCTTTTCATTAAGTGGTTGGAAGCACAGCTTTCATTAATGACCCCTGGCCAAACATCAAATGAAAGTTTCTGAAGAACCATAACAGAGGCAGACAAGTTAGGAACATGGAGCTAGATATGGGTGGATGGTGGGACGGAATCCTCATAAAGCCATATGGGATGTGAAAAAGAATGTCTCTTAATTCCTTTAAATACTCCAGTTTAAAGAGTATTTTCTCCATTATTTTCATTTCATTTCCTCTTATTCCTTTCCTCTGAATGAAAACTGTTATGCCACTTTACATCTGGACTCTGTGGTTACGGTCTATTTTTTTTCTCATTTAATGGCATTGTTGGTTTGCTCTCATATCACTGGTAATCCCCTGCCAGGAGGCTGCTACTGAGGGGTGCTGGGTAGCATAAAAACCATGGGTAGGGTAAAAAATGACTAAGCAACTTGGATGATCAGCATCCTATGAAGAACTTGAAGTTGATACAGTGAGAAGTAGGTGTAAATTATTATCTTCATCCATAATGCTAAAAAAAATTTATGGATGTCCTTATTTGAAATAACCTTATGGATTTCAAAAATATATTTTTCCATAGACTGTCTCATCTGATCATCAAACCAATGACAGGTTTTCTGTAAAAGATGCTCATGGTGCTGCTTGGCAAGTAAAGATACAAAACTAGAAATTTAAGGCATGTAGATTTTTTGACATATGTTAAGATGAGAAATGTTATGCCAGTTAAGACATAGGCAAAGAATGGCTAACTACGTGAAATTATACTTCAGAGTTACATAAATTCACAGTGTCTCAGTTTCCTCATCTATAAAATGGAGAAAAATAACACCCATCCCTCTTATCTTGCTAACTTGTTCAGGCAAGTGGAATAGTTATAAAGCAATGGATACATTATAATAATTACTACTAAAAGTCTTCATTTTAAAGGATTGTTTCAAAAAGTAAAATTAATACTGATAATGGGGAAATTTATCTTTGGACAATTCAATTACCTTTAGAGCTTCAAGCATCCATGTCATTTTCGAAATAGTAAATGTTACATGAAATTTACTTCATGGATCTCAGGAAAGATGACTCATGCAAAATTTAGCATATGTTTCTTTACAATGCAGAGTCAGGAAGAAGGTAGGAAAGTGTTTATTATGTAAACTACTCAGAAAAGTTACCAGAATAGAATAATCTGGAGTTTGATGTTCACACTGATTCTCAAGTTTGGGGCTCATCATCTTTATCTGGTTCTTAATTCACTTGGTACTTTGTGGCTAAGAAAGTTCTGATCATGACCTTGAGTTGAGATAACTCAATTAATATAGAGAATTATGGAACATCTTTATTACAGTATACATTAAAGTTCAATAAATAAGAGGGACATGATATTACAGTTGCTTAAGGGAACTTGATTTGGGACATACTTGGTGCTCAGTTGTAGTCAAATTTTGAAAAATTTCCCCAAGTGCTTAATTCCCTTCCTCTCACCCAAGATTAGTGATGATGTGGCTCTAGAACAGCCGTGGGCAAACTATGGCCCGCTTGAAATGAATAAAACTAAAAAAAAAAAAAGACCGTACCCTTTTATGTAATGATGTTTACTTTAAATTTATATTAGTTCACACAAACACTCCATCCATGCTTTTGTTCCAGCCCTCCGGTCAAGTTTAATAACCCATTGTGGCCCTCGAGTCAAAAAGTTTGCCCACCCCTGCTCTAGAGTGATAAAAATAAATCACAAAAGATCTTCAACCATGGTCTAAACTAGAAATTAGAACTAGAGTTTGCACCTCTGACCCAGACCCCATAGAGGTGTTGATGTTCCATAGAGAGAAGACCCACATGAAAGGGAAAACATTATTGGCAGAACAGAAGCTGCAGATTCTAGGTCAGAATATGTTCAGCTGGTTGGTGCTTCATGCTCCTTGCTCTTTCAAAGGAATGAAAACAAGAAGATAATCCTAATCCAACAGAATGTGAGATTAGAAAAAAAAAACACAAGAAAATGTTAAGAAAAAAATGAAAAAACATTAGGAAAAGTTAAGAACATGATTTAGTCAAATAGAGAAAAAAATCCCAGAGAAAGAAAAAGAGAGAGAGAGAGAGAGAGAGCAAACCCGATCAGATTACTCACTTGGCATTCCCTGCCCCTGGTTTCTTTCTTCGGAAAATGTTGAGGAAAGTGTTGGAGCGGCAGGGCAGCTTGCCATCGCCGACATGCATGCGGACTACATCAGAGGTGGTGAAGGCACTGCGGACGTTCCTCTCCGGCTTGGCAATGATGATGTACATCTTGGGAGTGAACATGCACCCCAGGGCCACCGTTACACTGAGGCTCACTGCAAAGCAGGTAGTGATGATCTTGTAGTTGCTTCCAAAGTAAATGGGCACAAAAGCCAGCCAGATGATGCAGGTGGTGTACATGGTGAAGGCGATATATTTGGCCTCATTGAAGTTGGCGGGCACGTTGCGTGTCTTGAAGGCATAGTAGGTACAGCTCATGATGAGGAGTCCATTGTAGCCCACAGGGGCCACCACACCCAGGTTGCTGGTATTGCAGATAAGGTAGACTTCCTTGATACTTGGGTATGACAGAATGGGCATGGGGGGCTCCATGATGATCAGGGTTACCACCAGGGTTAGCTGCACGCTAATCAGAATTGAGGCAATGATCACCTGGGCCCAGGCACTCATGAACCTGGGCTTCCGGGTGCAGATCTTCTTCTTGCTGCCAGCTAGGATGCGCGCAATGCGATTGGTTTTGGTCACTAAAGCAGAGTAGCACATGGCAGAGGAGAGGCCAACCAGGAGGCGCTGGAGGTAGCAGGACGTGGTGGTAGGTTTGGCAATGAGAGTGAAAGGGCACACGTAACCCAGGAAGATGCCAGCTAGGATAATGTAGCAGAGCTCTCGACTGGAAGATTTGACCACTGGTGTGTCCCGGTACAGCACGAAGATGAGAGTGACAAACAAGGTGACAAGGATGCCCAGGCAGGAGAAGGCGATAGCTATGATGGATTCTATATTGCTCCACTCCAGGTAGCGGACAGGGATAGGTTCACAGCCTGTGAGGGGAAAAGTAGATTTAAATTGAATCTAAGATTTCTACTGATCAATAATAACAGTGCTTTCTAGTTACTAGAGGCATAGCTAAATTCACATCTTCCATGATTTATGTTATCTTAATGCTTTTAAAAATGCTTCACTATTACACAAATAAAAATACATTATTGTTTTCTCTGGACAGTTATGTTCTTAAACCTAATTGCATTACAATCCTAATATGACATACTTGAATCTATAAAAATGATCCTCTTTATCTAATACCAGCATTATAAATGAATGACACTCTATGGGTGAAACTTGGTTCTACGCTTTTAGAAAGAGAAAGACTATGTTTTCAGTGGGGGTTAAAAGGTGAGAATGTGTTAGATAAGTTAGTAAGAAATAAACTAATACAATTTTTATTTTCATGTAGTTGTTGCCTAGAGCAGTGATGGCGAACCTAAGACACGCGTGTCAGAGGTGACACGCGAACTCATTTTTTTGGTTGATTTTTCTTTGTTAAATGGCATTTAAATATATAAAATAAATATCAAAAATATAAGTCTTTGTTTTACTATGGTTGCAAATATCAAAAAATTTCTATATGTGACATGGCACCAGAGTTAAGTTAGGGTTTTTCAAAATGCTGACACGCCGAGCTCAAAAGGTTCGCCATCACTGGCCTAGAGGCAAGTCCAGCTTACAGACAATTTTTTTTTCTTGGCCAGCACAGTGTTTTAAACAATAATTTCACTTCAATTTTTTAGACGAATCCACATTGTCCTATTTGTCACATATCATATTATTTATTTCAAGTCTCACCTCATTATTTATGTCTGATCTGTATGTGGCAATTAGGAGCCTCTTAGTTATCAGCCTCTACCAGACATACCAAGGAAGAATGAAATCTCCCTTCACCCATCTCTTGAAAAGAGAGACAGAGCTGTGTTCCTAAATGCCTGGCTAATCTTTTCCTTCGAGATGGAAAATAAAGTCTTTTTTTTATTTCACACTGAGAGAAAAATGTCTCAGGTCCTGGAGACAACTCCTTAACAGAATTTTGTGTTTGGTCTATGCCTGTATTTCCATAAATTTAGGAGAAGACATTGTTCTGTAGGCATGGTAACCTGTTCAGTTAATCAACACCACCACCCCTCGGTGACCATGTTTTTAGATGCCATCCAATCAGTATCAGCACTTGTTTCTGATAAACACCCAATCAGGAGCAGATGCACATTTAACAAATGAGTGCCAACCATTCACAAGCACTATCTCTTGACTGATCTTAGTGGCCTCTCTCTTGTTTGTCAGGGTTTGTCTGTGAAGGTCTCATCCTCTTCTTGGAAGAACTTCTGCTTCCTATAAAAAGTCACATTTTAATTTTAAATCTTCTAATTTCCTTGATGAGTCTGTAAAAGATGATCCTTTTTTTTAAATACCAGCATTAGAAAATTTAGAAAAATGATTAAATAGATAGAATATTTAGAATAACAATGATCATTAGGGGAACTTTTGATATGACACAATCAATAAGTTAAAATATATGAAAGGTTTTGTAGACAAATTAGGAAATAAAATACTAAATAGTTAATATTCAGCTTCTTAATTGGCATACTGAAGTTGCTAAATAAAATTTAAATTCCAATGTAGTCTTTGTCAAAGCCTTGGTAACCTTTTGAAAGCAACCCTCTCTGCATTTCTCTTTTTCTATGTAACTTTACCTGATGTTTTTTTAATGAACTGTTCTGACATCAAAGTTTTCATTAGAAAAGAATACCATATTTTAAATTTGGAGAACACAAGTCATATCTATGGAAGCTGAATTAAAACCCTGAGCCAATTTAAGAGCTATAATTAATGGTTTTCCTAAATTTTAGAGCTACAGGCAAAATATTTTCTGCAAAATTCAGGAATTTTATTAGATATTTATTGTTACACTCTATAGATATATACCAACTAATTCAATTAATTGTTAGCCTCATGGAGGAAAATGTTTAAAGGCAGCAGATTAGAAAAGAGAAGATTTAAATAACACAGTGGTGTAAAATTTTAAAAATAAAAATGCATTACATAAGGCAATTTCAGAAGCTCTTCTTTGGTAAAGATTCAAAGTTATAAACTAAATAAAGATTGAAGACAGCCTTTAGGAAACCTTCAAATAATTCTGGGGCAGGCTCAACAACTGAGAGAAGGACTACATCTTCTCTTCCTATAAGTGGGCTCAAACCTGAATTAGGGGAATCAAACCAGAGAAAAATGTTAAAATACATAATTACTGACTCATAAATATTCTATATGTGACTAGAAATTTCAATAGAATATCAAAGTAAATAAACTAGAAATTAATGTAATTGTGGATCTTTAGGTAAAGCAACAAATAAGATAATGATTTTCATCTGGGTAACCGACTCTCCTGCCATGTTGCAAGGAACCGAGATTAGTCCCCATCCAACAACCAGGAAAACACTGAAACTCTAGTCCAACAACCTTTGAGGATTACATTCTCACAATTACCACACAAGTGGGATTGGAAGTTTATCCTTCAGATGAGACCCTATCCCTCGCTGACACCTTGATTTCAGGCCTGTGAAAGATCATGAAGCAGAGAACCCAGCTAAACTATGTCCATATCCCTGACCCACAGAAACTGTGAGATAATGAATGTGTGTTTGTTGTAAGCTACTAAGTTTTGAAGTGATACAGCAATAGATAACCAATTTGCCCATTAAAATCAATTTCTTAATTCAATAGCCAATGCATAAGGACAAGTGCAGGCATAAACTGAATTGGTCAAAATATGTTTAGGTTTTATACAAGGTTGTTTAAGTGTTATCATAAGTAATAAAACCCTATTAAAACAGCCAACATTTTCTACTAGTTAATTAGCTAATTATGAATTGTTGCTTCTTCTCCTTCCTATATTACTATCCACTGATATAATATTTATATATCTTAATCAATGTAGAAAAATCTCAAGGTTGTGTTTATGTCACTTAAGAAGTGCCCCTACCCAGAAATGAATTTTAAACAACCCAGTACTATTGTTCTTATACTAAAAATAAAAAGGAAAACTACCAGATTTAATATATAATAAATAGTCTAATAAGTATTACAAAATGCAATACTACCATAATCCAAACTTTTCTAAGAAAGAAATTGTGGCCTCCCTATGGCATAACAAATTTTTAAAAGAAAATAACAGATATATAAACTAATAGCTGGTATGCTTTCAGAATAATTCACTTATTTAACATAAGATAGGAACTTTTTAAAAAAGTCTTCAGGTACTTTTTAAAAATTTAAAATAATGTCAATTTTTTATGCATTGATGCTATGTAAAATAATTGCTTTCAGAAAGCAATTATTGAGCTCTGCAGTAAAAAGGTACTATAAAAACATCTTAAAATATAATAGAAATATTTTTGAGATGATCATGCTAAATGGATTGCTCTGACTAGAAATCTTTACACAAGGGCCTCACATAAAACAACAAACAATTTATTCCAAACTCTCTGGACAAATGAAAAGGAACCTTAATATTGCTGAAGGTTAAATCCCTTAGTGATTTTAATCTGAGTTTCTTTTTTCTTTTTCTGAGTTTAGAATTCAAACTTTTATTTGTGCTACTAGAGGCCTGGTGCACGACATTCATGCACTGGGGGGGGGGGGCGGTCCCTCAGCCCAGCCTGCACCCTCTCACAGTCCAGGACCCCTTGGGGGATGTCTGCCTGAGGGCTTAGGCCTGCTCCCTGGGCCTAGCCGGCAGGCGGACGGACATCCCCTGAGGAGTCCTTAGTGCTGCCACAGAGGCACTCGCCAGCCATGAGCCTGGCTTCTGGCTGAGTGTTGCTCCCCCTGTAGGAACGCACTGACCACCAGGGGAAAGCTCCTGCATTGAGCGTCTTCCTCCTGGTGGTCAGTGTGCATCATAGTGACCAGTTTGCATATTAGCCTTTTATTATATAGGATAATGAGAAAGAAAAAAGATTAGTCACTTACATGAGGCAACAGAGCAACATACAAATACTTCTCACCTGTGGGAAACTGGTATAGGGTTAAGCCTCGGACTGACCTTCTGGCAAAGTCACAAACAAGTCCTAGCTTAGAGGGCACAGTCCTCTTAGCATAATTAGGCTTGACCTTATAACACTCCCTAGATCTTATCTGGGAAGCTAATGGGCTGAGGAAGTGCAAGAACAGTGTAAACAAGTGAAACTCACAAGAACTGTGTAACTATGGTAACCACTACCTTGTTTACCCCTCACTATAAAAAGCTTGGTGAGGCCTGAGCACAGTGGAAGTCCTTCCTCTTGAGTTGGACTTGCTCGCCTGGTCCCCCATATTCCCAAATTATCTTGTGTCTTTTCTATTTCATTTGTGTGCGGCTCCACTTCCAGACCCGAACCCTGAACCACGCAGGACGTGGAGGGAAACACTTACGACACTCACCACCTATTTTTACAGTTTCAATGGCACAACAGCATACGCAACCTATTTTCCCATATGTGCATAACTAATACTCTTTAAATCTCAAGGACAGTAATTGTGCCATGCCCAAGTCACTGATTAAGAATGGAACAATCAGGCTCACATGTTTTAAAACATTTTTAAAAACCAACATACCAGAAGACAGCAAAAGCCCTAAGGGCAAAATGTACTGTGGATTTAAAATTTCTAAAGTGAAATTTAAGGGGAAGAGGGCTATGATTTAAAAAAAAAAGAAAAGCCACTGGTATTACTTTTACCAGTTCAGTAGATCAGTGGTTCTCAACCTTGGCTGCACATTAGAATCACCTGGGAATTTTTTTAAAATCCTGATTTCTGGGGCCCCACTCCATAACAAAGAAACAGAATTTCCGGAGGATGAGGCCCAGAAATCAGGATTTTAAAAAGATTCCCAGGTGATTCTAATGTGCAGCCAAGGTTGAGAACCACAGCAGTAGATGCATCTCAAACAAGTGATATCATAAAGGGTTTTCAGATCCTTCCCTACATTTTTACAATCAGATCACACCCCATTTGCTCCAATCCCCAAACTGATTTTGGCTGATAGTTTCCCCTCTAGTACTGGATCACTTAAAAAGCAAAACTTTTAAACTAAAAATATGATGGATGCTAAACTCTAATTTGGTACATGGATTGTTTGCTACCAAATATTACAGTCATTTTACAGTGACCACAAAAGGTTATTTGATTCTCCTTGTTCAAATGACTTTGAAATGATAATATTAAGCAAAAACTGTTGTTGCTATTAATACTGGCCACAAAGAAAAGACAAGTGATGTGTTTATAAGGCATGATGCAACATAAAAATTCCTTTAGAAATCCTTGTTTTGCACTTTGCTCAGAATTTTCAATCACAAAATCTCAGTGAATAAAAACAAGTTGTAACCCAAGAAGAGTAACTCAAAAGCATACATCTAAACTCATCTTAAGTGTATACCAAAATCTCAAATTTAAATACCAGTAGTTGATCTTTTTTATCATTTATATATTTTTATTGATTTCAGAGAGGAAAGGAGAGGGAGAGAGAGATAGTAATATCAATGATGAGAGAGAATCATTGATCAGCTGCCTCCTGCATGCTCCACACTGGGGATAGAGCCCACAACCCGGGCATGTGCCCTCACCTTGAATTGAGATGTGACCTACTGGTTCATAGGTCAAAGCTCAACCACTAAGCCAAGCTGGCTGGGCTCAAACTCAAATACTTTAAAAGTCCATAATTTGAGCATTTAGTCTTTTCTATAACTCATCTTCACAGCTTCAGATACACCACTTAAGAAGCTTGCAAAGCAGTGAAGGATGTTAGGACCCTGCTGATGCAAGTTTGTGAGACCCATCTTTCAAATGACCCATACTCAGGTTTTCAGTTACACCTTTTCAGTCTTTCCCACCTTGCAGCAAAGCAAAATAATTTTGCTTTTCCCCTTGCACTGAGAGTCCTAAGTGCTTTAGAATATATCCAAGGAACTTTTGTGCTTCCAAGCAACAATTCAACTAGCATTAACAATTTACTAATATTAACTTGTATTTGCCCACAAGTTCTATTAAATTCTCCAGAGCTCTGCCCCCTGATATTTTCTCCAGAGAATTCTCTACAACCCACATTCCCTACCACCCGCATCCTTTGCAATATAACTAACCACCCCTTTCCATTTCTTCACTCCCACCCCTCCTAGTATCAATGTCAAGCTGTGCCCTCTCCCTCCTACAACCCTCACCTCAGGGTCCTTCCATTTGAATGCCAAGATTACTTTGAGATCTAATCAAGTAAAATTCAAGTTAAAAAACATAAAGCAAGATGAATCAAAGATCACTATCAGTACCCCACCATTCCCTTCTCTTGGTAATCTGCAACATAATCAGAATGCCCAAACAAGACCCATCATTCTAACAGAATTTGGCTATGACCAACTTGTACCCTCCCAGACTGCAGCACAACACAATGACCACCCCTCTCAATTTGCTTCATTCAGGCATTTGTCTAAGGTACTTCAAACTTGAACATTTCCCCACAGTTTTATCATCACATTAAGAATTCACACAGGCAGGCAGGTAGGTAGGTGAGTAGGTGAGAGGATCACTGGGATCCATCTACAGGCATCACTTTGCATTGTGGCATCAATGTTAAAATGTTCATAGCAGAGAACTAGCATGACAGGAGGCTCAATTGAGAAGATGAAGCATCTGAAAAACTCTACCTAAAAAGGGAAGGGTGCCTGCTGGCATTCATGCACCCAGAGGTTGGTGCTCCAAGATCAAAATTCAAATAAACACATCTGCTGGTGGCCCAGATGCATCTGATTTGGACTTTTAAAAATTGTCACCTCAGAAGCTCATCTGAAAACCTTAAATAATGGCTTCCTGAGTATAAGGCTTCCTGAGCAAGGCCAGGAAACATAACTTGGAGAATTTTCTCCTCCTAAGACTCTGGAAATTCAATTGGCAGGCTTCAATTTAGGCAGTCTTTCTCCTTCAGGATCTCCCCTCCTGCACTGCTAGGCCCCACACTGGCCAGAGCTCCATTTGTCCTGGTGCCATCTGATTGCCATGATGAACACTGCACGGTCCATGAAGCACTTTTGTCCTATTGTGAGGTTTCAAGAGAAGAATTATCCAACCTCCTGGTGTATTTGGGAATCCCAAGACTAGAAGGGGTGGAGGTTACCTTCAACATGGGTGAAAGGTATTCTGAGCCTACCTGAGCCTCATCCAAAAGGAAAAGTCATTATGGGAGTTGTGCAAAATGTATTTAAAGTCCTGGAAACCTAAAAACCTGACAATTTCCATGGTTAGAGTCATCTCAGACAATCCAGAGCCATCGGACAAGTCAGTTTCCTTCAAGTAGACTACAAATTTCTGAGCAAAATCCAAGAGAAGTGGTAATAACTCTGATCTGAGAACCAGGGATTATTGCTAATTTTTGAACCAAGTATTGGCTCACCTGTAAGATTCAAATGCATTGGAGGAAGCTAAAATTTAATATTGGACTTCTTTTCAATTAGGCAAAGAAAACAATATGAATCAAGAAGTAAAGAAAGGCCACAATTATTCTACCCAAAGTGTCTTGGGCATTTAATAACATTTACAATAACACTTCATGATTACATAAGGTTTCATCTGAATGCTTTCTTTAATGTTATTACATTAATATGAAGTGCCTATTTAGTATTCACTGTTCAACTCAAATGTTCCTTCCCCTGTGAAGGCTTTTCTCTTCCCTGGAAAAAATAATTGCTTTTTTAATTCTATGTTAATATGATATTTTGCACATATTCTTATTGTAGGATTTATATCATAACTGTTTACATGTCTAATTTCATATGAAGCTCATCCCCCAGGATATAAACCTTATTTCATTCATTCATATGACCCCAGTTGCTAAAAAAAGAAAAAGAAAAAAGAAAAGACGGGTATAAAGCAGATGATTGTGTATATATAAAATTAAATAAATAAATAAGTAGATAGTATGAGAGATCACTGCAACTGCTTTAATGAACAAAAATGGTTAATATTAGTTAATTTTCATACTTTAGTATTGTCTTTTAAAATTTTTCATTCATTGACTTTTAGAGAGAGAGAGAGAGGAAGAAAGAGAGATATTGATTTGTTGTTCTACTTAGTTATACATTCATTGATTGATTCCTATATTTGCCCTGACCGGGGATTGAACCCTCAACCTCAACCTTGGCATATCAGGACAATGGCCTAACCAACTGACCTACTCAGCCAGGGCTATAATTTAGTATTTTCTATTTTTTAATGATTAAATTTAGTGTAGTATAAGAGGAATTTTCTTATACTATTTTACTTTTTAAAAGAAATAAGTAGCATTAGATTATATATAATTGTCCAATGAATTGTTAAACTACTGTGAAGTTATATATTATGTCAGAATAGATCCCTGTTTATGCATCATAAAAAAATAAAGTGTAAAATTTAAATGTGCATTTTTTCCAAAAAAGAAATATGACAAACTTACTAACAGCTTCAGAAATCACATCCTCTAAGAAATATACCAATTTTTCTTCATAGCCAAAAAACATATGCTAATAAAAATAAAAACTCACTTATAAACATGCTTTTATCCATTAATATTAGAGTCTCTGGAGCATATATGGAAAGCAGCTATCTCATAAAAGTATTTTAAACATATCTTAAGAAACTTTCTCTTCAATTTAAAAAAGCACAATTTCTCAGAAAAGAATAGTTTATCAATTTTAACTGAAATTCAGTAAAAAAAAAAAAACTACCCATGCAAATAAAATACCTACTTAAAAGCAATGCATTTACTCCTCTGAGTATTTCTAGTGATTTGGGGGATTCTCTGCCTGTGGGTTTTCTTTTTTAACAATTACTGCTACCATGGCAACAACCAACAACACATTGTCCTGTACTGCACCCTTGCTCTGAGCCTGACATGGCACAAAATAAGTGGCAAATGAGATCTCATTTTCCATTCATGTATAAGACCAAAAGATGCAGAAACAACAGATGGCATTTAACACTAAGTATAAATTAGTGTGAGAGATGTATATTCTAAAAGATCCTAAAGAAAAGATTGGAAAAATATGGATATTTGGCTATATGAAACATTTGGCTATTGCAAGATAAAGACAGTCTGAGCTGTTGCTGGCTCAACTCATTTGAATGTTAAAGTGACTTTTATACATATGATGGATTAAATTCTTTAAAAGGATAATTTTATTAATATTCATCTACTTATAGTCAAGGAGGATTTTTTTAAAAAATATGTCTTTATTGATTTCAGAGAGGAAGGGAGAAGAAGAGATAGAAACATCAATGATGAGAGAGAATCATTGATCAGCTGCCTCCTACATGCCCCACACTGGGGATCAAACCCGCAACCCGGGCTTGTGCCCTGACCGTGAATTAAACTGTGGCCTCCTGGTTCATATGTCAAAGTTCAACCACTCTGCCAAGCCAGCTGGGCTATATTTTATATTTTTACATGTTTTTTCCCCTAATAGATTTTAAGCAAAACATGACTGGGACTATATTTCACTTATCTTTGTATCTATAGGGCCTGCTATAGTACCTCAGACATGATGTTCAGGAAAGAAGTTCAAATATAAATTCAAGTGATTAGAAATATCTTCAAATGAAATTTTTAAAAAGAAACTAAACAACTGGAATACCAGGATTCACTGTCAATACATTTTTAAATTTAGATTTAAATAAACTTTACTTTTAACATAGATCATGGAAAATTTATAAGAGGTCTGTGTATACTCTTTGCATGAGCCTTAGAGAGTGCATACTGTAAATGAACATCAAACAGGGCATGAGCTGATTGCTCACATTTTAAACATTGTGAAAGGGCCAATCACCAGAGACAAGGTTTACAAGTACAACTGCTCCTACCTGTGAGATCTGCATTGGGCCACCACCCCAAGTCACAGGCTTTGCAGGTGAACTCGTCTTGCACATATTCATTCTCTTTACAGGCTGTGCAAATCCAGCAGCAGCTCACTTCTCCTTTCCGTATAACCTGTAACATAGCAATATTTCACATGCCTAAAGAAGGTTTCTCCAGAAAGTCTGCTATTTCAGATGACTTGTTTTCATACTGCAATAAAAAGGTAACTTTAAAAAAAACTCTATATGCTGGAGATAATTAAGTACATGGATTAAAACATACCTGGTTACCTTAGAGTTCAAATGTGAATTTCAATTCATTTCATGCTGGATTTGGAAGTTTTTCAATAATAATTTCTTTAATAAAGATAACTGACTACATTATCTTTTACAGAGTTAATAATAAAACAGGTGAATTTTATTCTTATTTATATTAATAGGTATTAATTATTCTCAGAAAGTAAAGATAGAGCTTTCTTCTCTGAAAGAACAAGTAATATTTAAACACAAAAGTTTCTATATAATAAAAACTCATTAAATCATAAAAACTGAGGAGTTATGGAATGTTTATTATAATTATGAAAGTCTGATAAATTTTATAACGGACTGATGGCTAAGAAAGTATAGCCCAGTTATTGGTCTTGCTATTTGCTCTAGTGAATTCAAAAGGTCACATAAATTGTTGAAAGAAAAATGACTAGCCCAAAATTACTGAAGAATTGCTCATTATCTGAGCAGTTTAAACTTTCTCCCATTTTCAAATTGTTTGGTAAGCACTTTTTCACTTACACGATACAAAAATAAACATCAAAACACACTGCATTTAAAGTGAGTTTCTTGTAAACAGCATATGATTAGATATTGCTTTCATCTCCAGTCTGACAATTTCTGCCTTTCTATTAATGTGTCATTTATTAAAATCATTGGTGTGATTGGATATGCATCAATCATCTTTTTTTTCTATCTATTCCATCTGTCCTATGTTTTCTTTTCCTTTTATTCTGCCTTCTTTTGGATTGAGAATTTTTTTAGCACTTCATTTTATCTCTAAAATTGGCATACTTGCTAAACCTCTGTGTTGCTTTTGTGGCTGTTGTAGGATTGAAAATATGCACCACTAACTTATCACAGCCTACATTCAAATAGTATTATACCACTTCATTTACAATGTAAGACCCCTACAATATTCTTCCATCTCCCCCTCCTATTGGGTATTGTTTTAATACATTTTACTTACATGTATTTTATAATCCCCTATGAAAATTATTTTTGCTTTAAACAATCATCTTTGAAATCCACTTTTGGAAAAAGAAAAAATTTATTATATTTTACTAGAGGCCCGTTGCATGAAATCCATGCAGGGTGGGGGGAGGGCTCAGCACGACCTGCACCATCTCCAATCCCAGAGCCCTCAGGGGATGTCCTACTGACGGCTTGGGCCCTCTCCCCGTGGTTCTCTGCTTTCTGTGGGGCCTGCCTGCTCCACACCATGGCAATGGCCAAGCGTGCCCTGCTGGGTGCTGCCTGTGGGCCACACTTGCCTGCTGGGCTCACGTTGCTGGGGTGACGTCGCCAGCGTCCTGCCCTGGCTGCTATGGGCGCCGCCATCTCTGTCCCAGAGTGACGGAGTGACAGTTAATTTGCATATTACTCTTTTATTAGATAGGATATTTACCCAATAAATATATTTTAACATCTGGTGCTTTTAAGTCCTTTGTATAGACCCAATTTTCTATCCCCTATAATTTTCTACATTCTGAAGAACATTTCTTAACATTTATTGTAGTGCTGGTGTAAGAATTATGAGTTCTTTCACTGTTTATTCATTTGACAAGTCTTCATTTTGGCTTAATTTTTGGAAAAAAAAGTATTTCCACTTGGTAGGAAAGTTTAAATTGGCAGGTTGTTTTTTTTTTAATTTCTTTTAGCACTTTCTGCCATTCCATTGTCCTTGGAAATAGAATTCTAGGTTAAAATATTTTTTTTCTTTTAACACTTTAAACATATCATTCCTTTCTTGCCTTGTATATGGTTTCTGATGAGAAGTCAGCTGTAATTTTGAGTTTGTTTTATGTCTGTAACAGAACTTTTTGTTGTGGCTAATTTTAAGATTTTCTTTTTTATCACTGGTTTTTAGCAATTTCATTATGTGTTCAAATTCTTTGGGATTTGTTGAGGTTCATGAAATAGAGTTTACATTTTCATTACATTTGAATATTTTTCAAGTAATTATTTCTTTAATGATTTTCTCTAGCCTGTCTCCTGAGTCTCTAATTGTGCTTGTAATATACCTCTTGACTGTATTCTGCAAGTCACTGAGCATCTGTTCATTTATTTAACTTTGTTTTCCCTCTGTGTGCCTCATTTGCCTATTTCCTGTTGCTATGTTTTTAACTATTGATATTTACTTCTATAATGTCTAATATCTGTTAACCCCATTCATTGAAATACTATTTCTTATATATTTTACTTTTCATTGTATAAGTCCCATTTTGTAATGTTTTAGTATTTTTACTTGCCTTCCCATGATATTCATGTTTTGTTTTAAATTCTTTAGTATGTACTTTAAGTAGATATTTTAATATTTTTGACTGCTAATTTCTTCATCAATGTAATTTCTGGGAGTGTTGCTGTTACTGGATTTTCCTTCTGGTTATGTCTCACTTTTTCTCACTTTGTCATATGTCTGAAATTTATTGACTAGATGCTGACCATGTGTGGTCACACACAAGGTGTAGAGCACTGGAGATTTTTTCTTGAAGAAGTATTGTTCTTCCTTCTGGCAGGCAGCTAAATGACTTGTGGCTCACTTTGAGTCATGTTTTTAATCTTTTAGGGCAAGTGCAAAATAGTCTCTATTTTATGAATAGTTTGGTCTCATTATTAAGGTTTGGCCCCTCTGGGGTCTCTACTTAATTTCTTGTGCATTCAATAAGGTGTTTCCACTCTGGTTTGTGAAGACTGGAACAATTTCTGGCTCCATGTGAGCTTTACAATCCAGCTACCCAGTAATTATTCTTTATCTGGAATTTTTAAAAAATATATTTTTATTGGTTTCAGAGAAGAAGGGTGAGAGAGAGAGAGAGAGAGAGAGAGAGAGAGAGAGAGAGAGAGAGAGAAACATCAATGATGAGAGAGAATTGTTGATCAGCTGCTTCCTGCATGTCTCCTACTAAGGATCTAGCCGGCAGCCTAGGCATGTGCCCTTGACCAGAATCAAACCCAGAACCCCTCAGTCCACAGGCCAATGCTCTATCCACTGAGCCAAACCAGCTAGGGCTACTTGAACTTTTTGAATTTTATCCTACTCATGCTCAAATCGGCATTTCATCAAATACTCAAGGGAATTCGCAGCCAACTTCTGGGACTTTTTCTGCATAGATCTTTCCTCCCCCTTACTCTGCATTACAAATTCTAGTTGCCTTGGCCTTCTGAAACTTTGAGTTTCTGTCTTCTTAAATTAGCAAGATGGCTAAACTCTGTTTGTGTTCTCTCTCAGTGAACAACAACCAGGAAATTGCCTCCAGGCAGAAAGCTTGAGTGATTTTAAGGTTCACCTTGTTTGTCTCCCCTCTGAAATCAAGGTCATGTGCAGCTCCTCAACGCGGGAACACAATTATTTCATACATTGTGTCAAGTTTTCAATTGTTTACAGCACAAAGCAAAGTCTGGCCTCTGTTACTCCATCATGACTAGAAGCAAAGTCTCTGACCAACACATAAAACATTATCACGTTTTCATATGTAAAATAAAAAATTAAACTGCAAATATTGGCATCCCTCAAAGTCATGCAAACTGTAGCCTTTGTAAAAATAAAATTATATTTTCTCAGATCAGGTTGAATTTCATACCACTATTTTAGAATTACATTTAAAAAATCAAATGACAGTATATTTTCAGAAAAAGTAAAGGTTTCCTTTTTCTTCTTTTACATTCAAATAACTTTGGAAAGGATAATCAAATTAAGTCTATTTCAAAAATTCATACCTACACTCAGAAGAAGTATGGGGAATTTACATTACACATGACAAAATTTTCTAAATTATAGGAGAAAAATTAATTAATAAATGAATGTTGCTTTTAAATCTTACTTACTATTAAAAGTACATTAAGAACCATCACAGAACATTGTATATCTCTTCAATCAGTGCTATCTTTTTCTCTCACTATAAAATTAATACTACTAATTAGACAAATCCAAAAATGATAATGCTAAACAAACTTATTTATACAAGATGACTGTAAAGGTAGATCCTAGGGGTAGCTGGCACATGGAAAATATTAAAAATTAGGGTTTGAATGACTGAATAAATGAGTGAATAAGTGATTAGCTTATACCTTTAATAAATCATTAAAAATGAAGCTTCTTAAATGGAGTAACTTTTACCACTCTTTTATTCAGCTACCAAGTATGTGTAATTTTGCCAAATAATGTCTATAATATGGAATTTGTATTTTCTATTTTCAGCCACATACTAGACTGAGATTTTATAACTTTACACCTGAATTTCGGTCCCTGTTGCCTAACCATGTAATAGGTCTCCAATCTCTTCTCACTCTGGAGTGGTATACACAGTTGCCCAGATCATCTGTATGGACTGTGTACTCCTCAACAAAAGGGACTTCCATTGTTTTCAGATCAAAGTCATCAAGGTACAGAACTGAACCAAGAACGCGCAGTAGGCAGCTAATGAATGAGTGTCAAATTGAATCTTTTAAAAAATATATAGTTAAGCCACTTAAGGAATTTTAGTGCCTCCTTAATCCAACACTTTTGAAATATAATGCCTGCTCTTTGGTCAGGCATTCACTTTGTCCTTGATCCTTGTTTCTGCACCCAACCTTATTAATTTCTTACATAATTCTGCCCTGAAGGACATTCTCCATGCCGACCACTGCATATGTCCTCATTAATGTCCACATAACTCGGTTTGCTTTATTTGTTTTGGAGGGAGATTTCAACTAGAGTAGATACATTATCAAATTTGTAATTCATCTGACTTGCTTTTCAGAAGGATTATTCTGGTTGCTGTATAGAGAATATACTTTAAGGAGGGAAAGAGAGAGGGAAAAAATTGTGTGTGTGTGTGTGTGTGTGTGTGTGTGTGTGTGTGTGTGTTTTAACCACCAGCT